AGATGGACGGACAGACAGACAGACAGACATACGAACAGACGGACTGACTTTCTGAGCTGAGTAAGGTCAACTGACCCTACTAATAGGCTGTTCAACGATCTTATTGGCCAGTTCACCAAGTGACTGACTGACCGACTAATGGGCGGCGAGACAGATGGGCAGATGGATGGACATACAGACTGGCTAACTGACTTGACTAAGATCGACTGACCCAGCTGATAGCCTGATCGACCATCTGATTGGCCAGTTAACCAAGTGACTGACAGACCAAAACAGTGACTGCTGATGGACTAACACAATGCTGCACTGAAAGACTGACGTACGGATTGACTGACGGCCACTTGACAGATTGATAGACTCCATGACTGACATGACTGATTAATCAACCAACCAACCACACTGACAACTGACTGACTGATTGACTTCACTAACTACTTAAGAGCATAACAATCATACAAGCTCGTTAAGAATCAAAAACAAGAAACACTGTCCAACAACCATTTGAAAAATAAAAACTCGCTAAAAAGAATCATAAGTGATTTAACTTTAAAATGTGATTAAAACTTTTCAACTTAAATACGAGACACATGAAAAAAGAATATACTGCAATAACCCAATTTGCAAATCCTACAAAATGTGCCAACCTGCTGCAATGACTGGGTCAGACATGATGTCTCGTGTTATAGGACACAGGAATTCATCTGGAATGTCCTCCTCTAGCTCCTCTTTCTTGATATCTTTTATTGTTCGCAAGATCTTATTGCGGTGACCAGCTGGACCTGAAGTTGTGAACATGTCAAAACAATCATAATAAACCTGTGTTTGAATGTCATAATCAGTGGTCACTTCAATTTAGGACTCTTATCTGTCATCGCTTAGGGGTTCAGTATTTTTCTGACAATAATTTTTGGAATTTGATATCTGGCCCCTTAATAGGAGGTGGCTGCTTAATAGGGGTTAGACTGTAGCTCTGAAATATCAACCTGGCATAATAATCACATCCTATCCTCAGGAATGACTAAGAAGGTGGAACTGGATAAACCATGCCCCTTGAGAGAGCCTGCAAGCAACATCACCACAGAAGCCTAGCACTGGAAACCAACAGGAACACGCAAGAGCGGGCGGCCCAGGCTGTCATGGCAACCGTTAGCCGAAAAAGAACTGAGAGAAAGACTGAGCCTCACCTGGGATGAGGCTGCAAAGACCGCATGGGGACCTTATGCGCCACATGGTGCAGAGAGGCCAAAGTAAGTAGGTAAGTACCCTTAGGAACTGTCAGTGCATGTACGTGTGAATTCGTTAAGTAGCTGTTTCAGTAATCAGCATATAATTTCTCAACAAAATGTCAACACAAAGTAACCGGGCAGGTTGTGAGAAAAACGCGACTGAAACTGTTGAAGAACTTTAAAAAGTTCTCCCTAAACAATATTACTTTCAATATATATAAACTACTGAAGACAAATCAAAATGAACTCAAATGACCATCCAGCTTGTTCCTCACCTATCCCAAGGTCTGATGCTAGTACTTCGCCAGTCATGTTGGACAGTTCCACACCATCAATGGCATTTTCACGGAATGATTCACAGTACAATTCAAGGTCCAGTGACATTAGCCAGCTGCAAACCTCCTCAACACTCCAAGTCACAAGTTTCTTTCTCTGTTTCTTTGGTTCCTTATAAGAAAAATGGACGCTTTTTTAAAAGAAAAGGAAGACAAAGACACATGCATGCAAGGTAAC